ATACCATATTGTCAAATCATAATATAAATAATATTAAAGTGAAAGAATATTAATAAACCTTGTATCATTATTATTATACAGGATTTATATAGCGCCAATGGTTTGCTCAGCGCTGTACATTATAATGGGGGACAGAACATGAGACAGCACAGTAATATAATACACGAGGGGTTCGAGGTTACCTTAATTAAAGGTGAAATACATTCCAAAGTAAATATAAAATCAACGCGACCAATTATAAAACCGTGACCTATATCAATTAATATAAATAAATTAAAAAAAGTCCCAAAAAGTGAAGAAAATAATTATAGCACAAAAAATATAGAATATAAAAAATCCAGATTTTTCAATTCTTCAACTTTTGCATTCCCACTTTTTATATTAATGGTGCCAATTTTATCCGTCTCCTTCTAGTGTGTGCGCTCACCTCAAAACTGACACTGTACTAATGGCACTAGGCAGGAAGGGGTTAACATCTGGGGCCATCGAAGGGTTAACTGTGTGTTTCACTGTGAGCATGCTGCTATGCAGAGCCATACAGAGCAGTGTGCAGGAGCTGGCAAGGGAGAGATCTGTGTTGTTTATAGAGATCGCTGGGTGCCGGCAGGGAATCCCCAGCCGGGACCCGGTGATTGACAGCCGAGGCTACAAATGGCGGTGCAGGTAGGGCCCCCCTACCTGGAGCTGCAACATCATATGTATATGGATGTATATATATATATATATGTGTGTGTGTATATGTATGTATATATATATAGTGTGATTTTGCGCAGCCGTGCCGCCCTGCAGCAGTATTTCTGCTATAGGGCGGTGCGGAAGCGGTTAAGCAGCGGTCCAGGCATGCGTTGGCAAGGAGCCGGCCCCTCCCAAGTACTAAATGGCATGCGTGTCCAGGAGCGGGAGGACGCAGCTCCCCTGACAGCCATGACTTGTCCGCTGTCAGCGGGGAAGGTAAAGAATTGACGAAAATGACGAAAATAAACCGTGTGTCCCCGCAATCAAAACCCCGCCTTTTTGATCTAGTATATAATTTAAGGGAAACCCCACACCCCAAATTAAAAAAAAAAAACAAAAATGGAGTGGACCCCCCCCTTCCCCCTAAAATCCATACCAGACCCTTATCTGAGCATGCAGGCCGGGAAAGGTGGTAGGGGTGGAATGAGCGAATGCCAATCCCCCCCACAAACCATTCCAGGCCATATGCCCTCAACGTGGGTAGGTACTTTTGGGGAAGGGAGGCCCCCCTCCCCCCCCCCCCCAAAAAAAAAACACCTTATCCCCATGTTGATGGAGACAAGGGCCACTTCCCCGCAACCCTGGCCCGGTGGTTGTAGGGGTCTCCAGGTAGAGGGGTTATTAAAATGGGGTCCCCCAGATCCCACCCCAGCATGTGAATGAGTCAATCGCAATGAACGCTGGTGACCCAAACAAAAGAACCCCCCCGCCAAAAAAAAAAAACCCTGACCCGCACCGATGCTTGGCACCAGGGGCGGACTGACAACTCATGGGACCCCCAGGCAATAGGGGATCATGGGGCCCCTGTGTCCTTACCCAAACTCAAAAAAGCCTATGAAAAAGGTACCAGGGGCATCTCATGGGGCCCCCTACTGACCCCAGGCCCTCGGGCAGTGCCCGAGTTTCCAAATGGTCAGTCCGCCCCTGCTTCACACCCACCAAGTGACCATTCTGTTGCCTTGCCTCTCATGGGGCCCCTGGGCAATAGGGGATCATGCGGCCCCCGTGTCCTCACCCACACTCAAAACCACACCCAAAAAATCCTATGAAAGGTACCAGGGGCATCTCATGGGGCCCCCTACTGACCCCAGGCCCTCGAGCAGTGCCCAAGTGCTCAAATGGTCAGTGCGCCCCTAAATGAGCCAAGGAGTGGGTCAACCCATGTCGAGTGACCCCCGCCTCTTATGATGCCATTGACTGAGGCATGGTGGGTCGATGACATCATAAGGGGGTGGGAGTTGTTAAGAAAGCAGCCCCCTTTGTTAACGGCCATGCTGTTTTACTGCTTGTTAAAGTGCCAGAAGCTTTCGCTACAAAATACTTCATACAACAGCTAACAATAAAGTACATTTGTGAATTGCAAAAACATTTTTTATTTAAAAAAAAAAAGAAAAAGAAAAAAAACCCTAAGCGGTTCTTAAAGCTGTAGACACCGCTTGGTGAATTGAGCTTTTTTTTTTTTTTTTTTTTTTTACATTTTTTTTGGTTTTCCAAGCCAGAGGCCGGGAGTGCTCCACTCTGAGAACCTCCAGGGGCTGAGCTGTGTTGAGGAAGAGAGGACAAAAGGGACATTAGGGGGCCCAGCAGACCATAAAGAAGGCCCGTTTGTCCCATCTGTGACAGTAATAAAGTTAATTGAAAAAAAAAATGGCATGCTTTGGTCTTGACTTTTATGGAAGTCTCAAAGGGGGCTCCAGGGTACCCCTCACCACCAGCAGTGCCCGTGGAGGTCATTGGTCACAGGAGGGATCGGGAGTCCCTCCGGCTTTCACTAGGGAAGCAGTTTCCCGAAGTCCCGGTCTCCCTGGAGGAACAGGAGAATCCGGGACAATGGGAAACTTGCTTCCTTGGTGAAAGCCGGAGGGACTCCCGATCCCTCCTGCGACCAATGACCCCGGAAGCGACATCACCGGAATTACAGCTGTCATTACCCCTCTACCAGAGGCGGACTGACCATCCAGGTACTCGGGCACTGCCCAAGGGACCGGGGTCTGTAGGGGGCCCCATGAGATGCCCCTGGTACCTTTCATAGGCTTTTTTTGGGTGTGGTTTGATGTGGGCAAGGACACAGGGGCCCCATGATCCCCTATTGCCCGGGGGCCCCATGAGTTGTCAGTCCACCCCTGCCCTCTACTGAAGCCAGAGAAGCAGCTAACCAATAACAACCTATGCTTGAAGAACTTCTTGGAAGGGCAGGGGAGACACTGGAGGTCTTCTAGACCTCGATATCTCCGGAAACAGGACTTGTCACCTGCCCATGTCATCAACCTTGCAATACAATTAAAAGAAAAAAAAAGAAAGAAAGCAAATGAAACAATTACAAAATGATAAAAGCACGCCCGCTAACCCCCCCCCCCTTTCACCATACACACCCCAAATGTTCAGCATACAGTGGGCACGCGTTTGGAAACGTAATTTGCGCCATGGACAGTAGTTAACAAATAATATCCTAAAATAAATAAAACAATAATGTTAATAAATAGTAAAAATAAAACTACTACTACTACTAACATAATAGCAAAAATAAAGCTATTTATTTATTTATTTTTCTAATATTATTATTAGCTCTATTTTAGGTTTACTAATTATTATTACGAATAGTAAAAATAAAACCAATCATAATATTAACAATATTAATATCAATACTAATATAATCAATAGTAAAAATGAAATAAAACAAATGTTAGTGCTAGTAATAAAATAATAATAATTATTAATATATAGTAATAAAATGGAAATATACAGTAAATATAGATAGTTAAATGTAAATATAGTAAAAACAAAATAAAACTAATAACGATATACTAATGGTAGTAATAACAATAAAAAGTAAAATTAAAACTACTACTAATTATACACACACACACTTGCTAAAAGTATTGGGCCGTCGGCCTTTCCCTGCACATGACCTTTAATGGCCTCCCAGTCTTAGTCTGTAGGGTCCAATATTGAGTTGGCCCCGCCCTTTACCCCACACATGACCTTTAATGACCCCCCAGTCTTAGTCTGTAGGGTCCAATATTGAGTTGGCCCCGCCCTTTACCCCACACATGACCTTTAATGACCCCCCAGTCTTAGTCTGTAGGGTCCAATATTGAGTGGCCCCGCCCTTTACCCCACACATGACCTTTAATGACCCCCCAGTCTTAGTCTGTAGGGTCCAATATTGAGTTGGCCCCGCCCTTTACCCCACACATGACCTTTAATGGACCCCAGTCTTAGTCCGTAGGGTTCAATATTGAGTTGGCCCCGCCCTTTGCAGCTATAACAGCTTCAACTCTTCTGGGAAGGCCGTCCACAAGGTTTAGGAGGGTGTCTATGGGAAGGTTGGACCATTCTTCCAGAAGCACATTTGTCAGGTCAGGCACTGATGTCGGGGGAGGAGGCCTGGCTCGCAGTCTCCGCTCTAATTCATCCCAAAGGTGTTTCTATGGGGTTGAGGTCAGGACTCTGTGCAGGACAGTCAAGTTCCTCCACCCCAAACTGGCTCCTCCATGTCTTTATGGACCTTGCTTTGTGTACTGGTGGGCAGTCATGGTGGAACAGGAAGTGGCCATCCCCAAACTCTTCCCACAAAGTTGGGAGCATGAAATTGTCCAAAATGTCACCTTAAGAGTTCCCTTCACTGGAACTAGGGGGCCAAGCCCAACCCCTATAAAACAACCCCACACTATAACCCCCCCTCCACCAGACTTTACACTTGGCACAATGCCATCAGGCAAGTACCGTTCTCCTGGCAACTGCCAAACCCAGACACGTCCATTAGATTGCCAGACAGAGAAGTGTGATTTGTCCCTCCAGAGAACACACCTCCACTGCTCTAGAGTCCAGTGGCGGCGTGCTTTACACCACGGCATCTGACACTTTGCATTGCACTTGGTGATGTAAGGCTTTGATGCAGCTGCTCGGCCATGGAAACCCATTCCATGAAGCTCTCTACGCACTGTTGTTGGGCTCATCTGAAGGCCGCACCAAGTTTGGAGGTCTTTAGCTATTGACTCTGCAGCCAGTTGGTGACTTCTGCGCACTGTGTGCTTCAGCATGCGCTGACCCCGCCCTGTCATGTGACGTGGCCTACCACTTGGTGGCTGAGTGGCTGTTGTTCCCAGTGGCTTCCACTTTGTTATAATCCCACTAACAGTTGAGCGTGGAATATTTAGTAGCCAGGAAATGTCACGGATGGACTTATTGCCCAGGTGGCCACCTATCACGGGACCACGCTTGGAGTCACTGAGCTCCTGAGAGCGACCCATTCTTTCACCAATGTTTGTAGAAGCAGACTGCATGCCTAGGGGATGGATTGTATACACCTGTGTCCATGGAGGGGATTGGAACACCTGAATCACATGATATGGAGGGGATTGGTACACCTGAATCACATGATATGGAGGGGATTGGAACACTTGAATCACATGATATGGAGGGGATTGGAGCACCTGAATCACATGATATGGAGGGGATTGGAGCACCTGAATCACATGATATGGAGGGGATTGGAGCACCTGAATCACATGATATGGAGGGGATTGGAACAACCGAATCACATGATATGGAGGGGATTGGAACACCTGAATCACATGATCTGGAGGGGTTTGGAACACTTGAATCACATGATATGGAGGGGATTGGAGCACCTGAATCACATGATATGGAGGGGATTGGAACAACCGAATCACATGATCTGGAGGGGATTGGAACACCTGTATCACATGATCTGGAGGGGTTTGGAACACATGAATCACATGATCGGGTGGGGATTGGAACACCTGAATCACATGATATGGAGGGGATTGGAACACCTGAATCACATGATTGGGAGGGGATTGGAACACATGAATCACATGATATGGAGGGGATTGGAACACCTGAATCACATGATATGGAGCGGATTGGAGCACCTGAATCACATGATCTGAAGGGGTTTGGAACACCTGAATCACATGATTGGGGGGGGGATTGGAACACCTGAATCACATGATCGGGTGGGAATTGGAATACCTGAATCACACGATCGGGTGGGGATTGGAACACCTGAATGACACGATCGGGAGGGGATTGGAACACCTGAATCACATGATATGGAGGGGATTAGAACACCTTAATCACATGATATGAAGGGGATTGGAACACCTGAATCACATTATTAGGGGATTGGAACACCGAAATCACATGATATGGAGGGGATTGGAACACCGAAATCACATGATATGGAGGGGATTGGAACACCTAAATCACATGATATGGAGGGGATTGGAACACCTGAATCACATAATATGGAGGGGATTGGAACACCTGAATCACATGATAGGGAGGGGATTGGAACACCTGAATCACATGATTGGGAAGGGATTGGAACACCTGAATCACATGATATGGAGGGGATTGGAACACCTTATTCACATGATATGGAGGGGAATGGAACACCTGAATCACATGATATGGAGGGGATTGGAATACCTTAATCACATGATATGGAGGGGATTGGAACACCTAAATCACATGATATGGAGGGGATTGGAGCACCTGAATCACATGATTGGGAGGGCGGGGCCAATACTTTTGGCAATATCATGTATATTTATGGGGACTGGAACACCTGAGTCTACGGATTTGGAGGGCGGGGCCAATACTTCAGGCAATATAGTGTATTTTTTTGTTTTTAATCTCATTACTAATTTTGTTATTAATAGTTAAAAAAAAATACAAAATAATAAAAATATATATATATTATAGTAAGTAGTTACAAATATCATATTAAATAGTATAAAATAAAACTAATAATCACATTTAATAATATAATACATAGTGAGAACAAAAAAGGAAAAAAACAGCCAGCAGTGAAGGGGTTGAAGCTGGGGCGTGTCCCCGATGTCTGTGGCAGTGAAGGGGTTGAAGCTGGGGCGTGTCCCCGATGTCTGTGGCAGTGAAGGGGTTGAAGCTGGGGCGTGTCCCCAATGTCTGTGGCAGTGAAGGGGTTGAAGCTGGGGCGTGTCCCCGATGTCTGTGGCAGTGATGGGGTTGAAGGTAGGGCGTGTCCCCAATGTCTGTGGCAGTGATGGGGTTGAAGCTGGGGCGTGTCCCCGATGTCTGTGGCAGTGATGGGGTTGAAGCTGGGGCTGTCCCCGATGTCTGTGGCAGTGAAGGGGTTGAAGCTGGGGCGTGTCCCCGATGTCTGTGGCAGTGAAGGGGTTGAAGCTGGGACGTGTCCCCGATGTCTGTGGCAGCGAAAGGGTTGAAGGTGGGGCGTGTCCCCGATGTCTGTGGCAGTTATGGGGTTGAAGGTAGGGCGTGTCCCCGATGTCTGTGGCAGTTATGGGGTTGAAGGTAGGGCGTGTCCCCGATGTTTGTGGCAGTTATGGGGTTGAAGCTGGGGCGTGTCCCCGATGTCTGTGGCAGCGAAGGGGTTGAAGCTGGGACGTGTCCCCGATGTCTGTGGCAGCGAAAGGGGTTGAAGCTGGGGCGTGTCCCCGATGTCTGTGGCAGCGAAGGGGTTGAAGCTGGGACGTGTCCCCGATGTCTGTGGCAGCGAAGGGGTTGAAGCTGGGGCGTGTCCCCGATGTCTGTGGCAGCGATGGGGTTGAAGGTGGGGCTTGCCCCCGATGTCTGTGGCAGTGAAGGGGTTGAAGGTGGGGCGTGTCCCCGATGTCTGTGGCAGCGAAGGGGTTGAAGGTGGGGCGTGTCCCCGATGTCTGTGGCAGTTATGGGGTTGAAGGTAGGGCGTGTCCCCGATGTCTGTGGCAGTTATGGGGTTGAAGGTAGGGCGTGTCCCCGATGTTTGTGGCAGTTATGGGGTTGAAGCTGGGGCGTGTCCCCGATGTCTGTGGCAGCGAAGGGGTTGAAGCTGGGGCGTGTCCCCGATGTTTGTGGCAGTTATGGGGTTGAAGCTGGGGCGTGTCCCCGATGTCTGTGGCAGTGAAGGGGTTGAAGCTGGGACGTGTCCCCGATGTCTGTGGCAGCGAAGGGTTTGAAGCTGGGACTGGTCCCCGATGTCTGTGGTAGTGAAGGGGTTGAAGCTGGGACGTGTCCCCGATGTCTGTGGCAGCGATGGGGTTGAAGGTGGGACGTGTCCCCGATGTCTGTGGCAGTGAAGGGGTTGAAGGTGGGACGTGTCCCCGATGTCTGTGGCAGTGATGGGGTTGAAGCTGGGACGTGTCCCCGATGTCTGTGGTAGCGAAGGGGTTGAAGCTGGGACTGGTCCCCGATGTCTGTGGTAGTGAAGGGGTTGAAGCTGGGACGTGTCCCCGATGTCTGTGGCAGCGATGGGGTTGAAGGTGGGACATGTCCCCGATGTCTGTGGCAGTGAAGGGGTTGAAGGTGGGACGTGTCCCCGATGTCTGTGGCAGTGATGGGGTTGAAGCTGGGACGTGTCCCCGATGTCTGTGGCAGCGAAGGGGTTGAAGCTGGGACTGGTCCCCGATGTCTGTGGTAGTGAAGGGGTTGAAGCTGGGACGTGTCCCCGATGTCTGTGGCAGCGATGGGGTTGAAGGTGGGACGTGTCCCCGATGTCTGTGGCAGTGAAGGGGTTGAAGGTGGGACGTGTCCCCGATGTCTGTGGCAGTGATGGGGTTGAAGCTGGGGCGTGTCCCCGATGTCTGTGGCAGCGAAGGGGTTGAAGCTGGGGCGTGTCCCCGATGTCTGTGGCAGCGATGGGGTTGAAGCTGGGGAGTGTCCCCGATGTCTGTGGCAGCGAAGGGGTTGAAGCTGGGGCGTGTCCCCGATGTCTGTGGCAGCGATGGGGTTGAAGCTGGGGCGTGTCCCCGATGTCTGTGGCAGCGATGGGGTTGAAGCTGGGGCGTGTCCCCGATGTCTGTGGCAGCGAAGGGGTTGAAGCTGGGGCGTGTCCCCGATGTCTGTGGCAGCGAAGGGGTTGAAGCTGGGGCGTGTCCCCGATGTCTGTGGCAGCGAAGGGGTTGAAGCTGGGGCGTGTCCCCGATGTCTGTGGCAGTGAAGGGGGTTAATAAGGGCGGGGCCTGCACTCTGCACACACTATGGTCTCTCAGACACTCAGCTGACCTTCCCTTTTCTATTTTTGTATTTCTGGTAAAGAGATCCCTTCCCTCCATGCCCTATAACCCACTCCAGACACTAGAGGTCAGCCCCTTATCTCTCTGGTCTCCGGAAGCTGGCGGCCATTTTGCGGTGGATAAAAATTAACACGTCCCTATAACAGCGCGTCCAGACACTAGAGGCCAATCCTTGTCTCGCCGGACTCCGGCGGCCATCTTACAGTGGACCTGAAGTAGAAGAATACACCTCCCAGAGTCCTCTTGGCCTACCAGCTCGCCTCTTTCACCGTGACTGACAGCTCACCCGGCCAATCAGAGCTTTGCAGCAGTTTCCTGCACTTCCGGGAGTTCAGGTTTGGAGAGGGTTACACAGAGGGTGCAGAGTGTGGCCCCCGGGGGCCCCCAGATAGAGGTCAGCCATGTGCAGGGAGATGTGTGTGATGTCTGTGTGTGCTGGGAGGTGTGATCACATGTACTGTATATACTCCATCTACTTTGTATATACACCCTTCATTGTATCATCAACCAATCCCCACACTTCACTCCTACATGGGAATAGATTTTTTTTGGGCTAGAAAATGACTTAAAACCCCCAAATATGAGCTATATTCTGAAAGCAGAGGCCCTGGAGAGCAAAGCGGTGGGTGTCGCAGGGTCTGTGTGTCGCAGGGTATGCGCACAGCCATCTGTCAGACACACATTTTCAGAAAAACAATACATGTAAGTGCACGTCATACAATATAATACACAATTGTTATGTCATATACACTACACTCTATATATATATATACGGCTCCAAAAACATGAAAGGAAGACTCTGAAAACCCATCAGATCCCAATGGGGAGGAATCTCCTGCTGGATCTCTATACTTACATGGACGGGGGATGGGTGAGGAACGTAAGGACGCCCCATCGCTTGATGGAAATGATCGACCTACAGAGGACTGAATTCACAGACACCCCGAAAATCAAAGTGAAGAAATGATGCCGCAGGCGAGTCCATGTTGGTGAAATGTCATTGCAGCAACTCAGAATGGTCCTCAGTAGTCTGTGTGGCCCCTATGTGCTTGTATGGATGCCTGACAATGTCAGGGGAGGGGCCTAATGAGACCACGGATGGTGTCCTGGGGGATTTCCTCCCAGATCTGGACCAGGGCATCACTGAGCTCCTGGTCAGTCTGAGGTGCAACCTGGGGGCGTCAGATGGACTGAAACATGACATTCCAGATGGGTTCTATTGGATTTAGGTCAGGTGAGCGTGGGGGCCGTTCAATGGTATCAATTCCTTCATCCTCCAGGAACTGCCTGCATACTCCCCCCACATGAGGCTGGGCATTGTCTGCACCAGGAGGAAGCCATGACCCAGCGCACCAGGAGGGACCCAGTACACCAGGAGGGACCCACTGCACCAGTGTAGGCTCTGACAATGGGTCCATGGATTTCATCCCCATACCTAATGGCAGTCAGGGTGCCATTGTCTATCCTGTAGAGGTCTGTGTGTCCCTCCATGGATATGCCCCCCCCCCCCCCCGACAATCACTGACCCACCACCAAAACGGTCCTGTTGAACCATGTTACAGTCAGCAGAACGTTCTCCACGGTTTCTCCAGACCCTTTCACGTCTGTCACATGTGCTCAGGGTGAACCTGCTCTCATCTGTGAAAAGCACAGGGGGCCAGTGGGGGACCTGCCAATTCTGGGGTTCAAAGGCCAATGCCAATCCAGCTCTATGGTGCCGGGCAGTGAGCACAGGGCCCACTAGAGGACGTCAGTCCCTCAGGCCACCCTCATGAAGTCTGTTTCTGATTGTTTGGTCAGAGACATTCCCACCAGTGGCCTGCTGGAGGTCATTTTGTAGGGCTCTGGCAGGGCTCATCCTGTTCCTCCTTGCACAAAGGAGTAGATACCGGTCCTGCTGATGGGTTAAGGACCTTCTACGGACCTGTCCAGCTCTCCTAGAGGAACCGCCTGTCTCCTGGAATCTCCTCCATGCTCTTGTCTCCTGGAATCTCCTCCATGCTCTTGTCTCCTGGAATCTCCTCCATGCTCTTGTCTCCTGGAATCTCCTCCATGCTCTTGTCTCCTGGAATCTCCTCCATGCTCTTGTCTCCTGGAATCTCCTCCATGCTCTTGAGACTGTGCTGGGAGACACAGCAAACCTTCTGTCAATGGAATGTATTGATGTGCCATCCTGGAGGAGTTGGACTGCCAGTGCAACCTCTGTAGGGTCCAGGTATGGCCTCATGCTACCAGTAGTGACACTGACCCTAGCCAAATGCAAAACGAGTGAAAAACAGTCAGAAAAGATGAGTAGGGAAAAAATGTCAGTGACCTCCACCTGTAAAACCATTCCTGTTTTGGGGGTCGTCTTATTGTTGCCCATCTAGGGCACCTGTTGGTAATTCCATTAACACCAAAGCAGCTGAAACGGATTAACAACCCCCTCTGCGACTTACCTGACCAGATCAATATCCCAGGTGTCATTGACTCGATGCGACTCAGATTACAAAGTCTTCCTTTCATTTTTTTTTTTGAGCTATATATATATGTGATGGCACGCCAAGTAAATAGATACCAAACATGTCAAGTTTTAAAATTGCGCACACCCGTGAAATGGAGACAAATTACGGTTTCTGAATACCCCAATAGACAACGCTTTAAAAGCCTTTACGGTTATTAGTTTAGAGTTACACAGGAGGTCTGGCGCTAGAATTATTGCTGTCACTCCACCTTGTGTGGTGTGATCGCCATTTATGTGCCGGGGCTAAACGTGCGTTTGCAATTGTGTACAAGCAAGCAGGAATTACATTTATTTTTTTTCACTTATTTTGTTTAAATTGATTTTAATTTTTTTTTAAATTGATTTTACTTATTTTTTTCTCTTCAATTGTTAATGTATTTCATTTACATTTTTTCCCCCTTAATTTTTTAAAATTATTTTAATTACTTTTTTCATTTATTTTTTTATGTTTATTTTTCTCTTTTTAGTTTTTGTTTTTTAATTATTTGGGGTTTTTTCCTTTTTTTTTTCTTTATTTTGTTTATTTTTTAATTTATTTTATTTACATTTTTTTTTTTTTACTTTATTGCTATCACAAGGGATAAACAATGCACCTTGTGATAGCTGGTCAGTCACATGTCCTCTTTATGGAGACATCAGGGGTCTATTAGATCCTAGATCTCACCTAGATCATCTGCTTCCCTGGTCAGTAATAGCCAAGTGAACACTGAACCAAACTGGAAGTGATACAATCCTTGTCACTTCTGGGTTCATTCATCACAGAGGAGATCAGTGAGCAGTATGTAGTGGCTGGGCAGTCAGTGAGCAGTATGTAGTAGCAGGCGGTCAGTGAGCAGTATGTAGTGATAGGGCGGTCAGTGAGCAGTATGTAGTGGCAGGGTGGTCAGTGAGCAGTATGTAGTGGCCAGTGAGCAGTATGTAGTGGCAGGGTGGCCAGTGAGCAGTATGTAGTGGCAGGGTGGTCAGTGAGCAGTATGTAGTGGCAGGGTGGTCAGTGAGCAGTATGTAGTGGCAGGGTGGTCAGTCAGCAGTATGTAGTGGCAGGGTGGTCAGCAGTATGTAATGACACAGTGGCCAGTGAGCAGTATGTAGTGGCAGGGTGGTCAGTGAGCAGTATTTAGTGGCAGGGTGGTCAGTGAGCAGTATGTAGTGGCAGGGTGGTCAGTGAGCAGTGTGTAGTGGCAGGGTGGTCAGTGAGCAGTATGTAGTGGCAGGACGGTCAGTGAGCAGTATGCAGTGGCTGGGCGGTCAGTGAGCAGTATGCAGTGGCTGGGCGGTCAGTGAGCAGTATGCAGTGGCAGGGCGGTCAGTGAGCAGTATGCAATGGCTGGGCGGTCAGTGAGCAGTATGCAGTGGCTGGGCGGTCAGTGAGCAGTATGTAGTGGCTGGGCGGTCAGTGAGCAGTATGCAATGGCTGGGCGGTCAGTGAGCAGTATGCAGTGGCTGGGCGGTCAGTGAGCAGTATGTAGTGGCTGGGCGGTCAGTGAGCAGTATGCAGTGGCTGGGCGGTCAGTGAGCAGTATGCAGTGGCTGGGCGGTCAGTGAGCAGTATGTAGTGGCAGGGCGGTCAGTGAGCAGTATGTAGTGTAACAGCATAATAATAATTATTTTTTTTCCTACTCTACAGATCTGAATTCAGAAGTAACCTATCAGACAGCATGTGATGTCACCAGCAAATCAGAGCTCTCCAGCCCCTCCCATCTGTCCCCTGAATGGGAACACTCTGTATCCACCACAGCCAATAAGATCGAAGGTTCACACCAATATGATGACTGGCATAGTCAGTAAATGCTCCTGACAAGCTCAGCCAATCACCGCAGAGCCAGACTCTTCTCAGCCAATCACCGCAGAGCCAGACTCTTCTCAGCCAATCACCGCAGGGCCAGACTCTTCTCAGCCAATCACCGCAGAGCCAGACTCTTCTCAGCCAATCACCGCAGGGCCAGACTCTTCTCAGCCAATCACCGCAGGGCCAGACTCTTCTCAGCCAATCACCGCAGGGCCAGACTCTTCTCAGCCAATCACCGCAGGGCCAGACTCTTCTCAGCCAATCACCGCAGGGCCAGACTCTTCTCAGCCAATCACCGCAGGGCCAGACTCTTCTCAGCCAATCACCGCAGGGCCAGACTCTTCTCAGCCAATCACCGCAGGGCCAGACTCTTCTCAGCCAATCACCGCAGGGCCAGACTCTTCTCAGCCAATCACCGCAGGGCCAGACTCTTCTCAGCCAATCACCGCAGGGCCAGACTCTTCTCAGCCAATCACCGCAGGGCCAGACTCTTCTCAGCCAATCACCGCAGGGCCAGACTCTTCTCAGCCAATCACCGCAGGGCCAGACTCTTCTCAGCCAATCCAAGGGCCAGACTCTTCATCACCACAAAGCCAGACCCTTCACAGCTGATAACTACATAGCAGACTTTTTCAGCCAATCCGATCACTTTCCTGGTTTAGGTGGATGTCAGAACTGCCCTTCTATTGGCTGGTGGCTTCTGGTGTCCAATGTGAGTGTAGATGCGTCGGTTGCTGTTGCTGCTGGTTTGTCCCGGTGTGTTGGGGCTCTTCTTGCAGCTGTGGCTCTTCTCCACTCCACACCACCGGCTAGTGATTGGCATCCTGTCAGCCCGCCAGCACCGCCCACTGCGGGACACAATACGGAGCACCTGGGGCTCACAGAGGCCCCACCAACCTCTCCTGCGCTTTATTGTTGGCTCTGAACCCTGCCCAGTGCCTCCTGAGGACCGTGAAGACCCCTATTCCTGCCATCTGCTAAATATTACTTCCCCCAAGCTTCACCATGAGATCCCAGCCTTCATTGGACCGCTACCCTCTAGCTCCACCCACAGCCAGCTCAGTGTCACCTTCCGAGTGCTCCACCCTATAATCATCACCCGCTTGGGAGCTTGGTGCCCAGGGTCCAACCGCAATTTTAGCGTCCGCCTTTTCCAGGCTGAACATGAGGAACCTCTATGTGGAGCCCGGTTCACCCCACTGAGTCCAGGAACACTGTCACAAGTGTCCCCAAACAGCCCCAGGACAACTTCCTGGGTCACCTCGACCAACCAAGAGTCAACCACTGAAATCTGTTACAAGCCAGTGGAGCAGTTTATCCTTCCAGAAGGTTTCCATGGTACCATCCGGTGGGACAGCCATGACCCAGAAGGGTTACCCATGTGGGGCGTTCATCAGGTCACCCTGAACAATGGTGGTGGGGTCCTGCGTCTTATCACAGCAGAGGAAGGGCTGCTACCCTATGACTTCTCGCAGGGCGTGGAGGGCATCGCGGGAGGTTTCGTCTACTCCGTCCATGATGGCGAAGCCCTTCTACGGCACCTGCAAACTCGCCCACAGCGCCTGGAAGAGTATCAGGCCACGCTTACGGCAGAGGAGTCAGACCTGCGGGAGGAGAGCGACACCCATGGGGACATCATCTTTGTGAACTTGGTGGACACTTACCGAAATGTCCCACGCAAGTTGCTGCTGTTCTACCGTTGGCTGGTGGGTTCCGTAGACTTCGACTTCCTGCTGAAGACGGACGATGATTGCTTCGTTGACCTGGATAATGTCCTCCGAGCCCTGGAGGCCAGGAAACTGAAGGGGCCCAATGCTTGGTGGGGCAACTTCCGCCTGAACTGGGGTGTGGACCGCACAGGAAAATGGCAGGAGCTGGAGTACCTGAGCCCCGCCTACCCTCCCTTCACCTGCGGTTCAGGGTACGTCATATCGCAGGATATCGTCCGCTGGCTCGCTGACAATGCCGACCGGCTAAAGACCTACCAGGGTGAGGATGTGAGTATGGGCATCTGGATGTCCGCCATCGGCCCTAGGCGCTACCAAGACGAGAACTGGCTGTGTGAGAAGACATGTGAGGGTGGGATGCTGTCCTCACCGCAGTATTCACCACAAGAGTTGTCCGAGTTGTGGCAGAAGAAGGAGCGGTGCGGGAAGGCCTGCGGGGTGTCCTAATAACCAAAGATGAGGTGTGCTTTGTATCAGGGTAACTCTGGATCTGGGACCCGAACCCCAGGGGTACTTCACGTTATAGGGGGCAAAGGTTAACCCCACCCCCTAAACCATGGTCAGACTTGGAAAGTCCACTTAAAGGGAAAAAACCGGGTACATAAATATATGGGGGGAGGGGTTCAGGGCCCGGGGTCAATCTTACCTTAAGGCTGGACTGTATCTAGTACCTGGACCCTGAGGGAGGGGAACCCAACTTCCTGGAGGCGGGGCAAAGGTCAATCCCACCTCCTAAGCCATGGTCAGACTTGGAAAGTCCACTTAAAGGGAAAAACGGTACATAAATATATGGGGGGTGGGGGGGGGGGGGGGGGGTTCAGGGCCCGGGGTCAATCTTACCTTAAGGCTGGACTGTATCTAGTACCTGCACCCTGAGGGAGTGGTACCCAACTTCCAGGGGGGCAAAGGTCAATCCCACCTCCTAAGCCATGGTCAAACTTGGAAAGTCCACTTAAAGGGAAAAACGGTACATAAATATATGGGGGGAGGGGGGGGGGTTCAGGGCCCGGGGTCAATCTTACCTTAAGGCTGGACTGTATTTAGTAGCTGGATCCTGAGGGAGGGGTACCCAACTTCCAGGGGGGCAAAGGTCAATCCCACCTCCTAAACCATGTTCAGACTTAAGCAAGCCCTCTTAAAGTGGAAAAAACAGGGTACATAGAATATGGAGAGGATTAGGGGCCCCGCGTCAGTCTTACTTTGAAGCTGGACTGTATCTGGTGCCTGGACCCTGGGGGAGGGGTACCCAACTTCTGGGAGGCGGGGTAAAGGTTAATCCCACCTCCTAAACCATGTTCAGACTAGAGCAAGCCCTCCTAAAGTGAAAAATGGTATATAAAATATGGAGGGGATTAGGGGCCCCCGGGGTCAGTCTGACTTTGAAGCTGGACTGCATCTAGAACCTGTTTAGACTTGAGCAAGCCCTCTTAAAGGGGAAAAATGGTATATAAAATATGAAGAGGATTAGGGGCCCGGGGTCAATCTTACCTTGAAGCTGGACTGCATCTGCTGCCTGGACCCTGGGGGAGGGGTACCCAACTTCCAGGAGGCGGGGCAAAGGTCAATCCCACCTCCTAAACCATGTTCAGACTAGAGCAAGCCCTCTTAAAATGAAAAAATGGTATATAAAATATGAACAGGATTAGGGGCCCCGGGGTCAGTCTTACCTTGAAGCTGGACTGTATCTGTACCCTGGGGAAGGGGTACCCAACTTCCGGGAGGGGAGGAGGAGCAAAGGTCAATCCCACCTCATAAACCATGTTCAGACCTGAGCAAGCCCTCCTAAAGTGGAAAAACAGGGTATATAAAATATGAAGAGGATTAGGGGCCCCGGGGTCAGTCTTACTTTGAAGCTGGACTGTATCTGGTGCCTGGACCCAGGGGGAGGGGTACCCAACTTCCAGGAGGCGGGGCAAAGGTCAATCCCACCTCCTAAACCATGTTCAGACTAGAGCAAGCCCTCTTAAAATGAAAAATGGTATATAAAATATGAACAGGATTAGGGGCCCCGGGGTCAGTCTTACCTTGAAGCTGGACTGTATCTGTACCTTGGGGGAGGGGTACCCAACTTCCGGGAGGGGAGGAGGAGCAAAGGTCAATCCCACCTCATAAACCATGTTCAGACTTGAGCAAGCCCTCCTAAAGTGGAAAAACAGGGTATATAAAATATGAAGAGGATTAGGGGCCCCGGGGTCAGTCTTACTTTGAAGCTGGACTGTATCTGGTGCCTGGACCCTGGGGGATGGGTACTCAACTTCAAGGGGGGGCAAAGGTCAATCCCACCTCCTAAACCATGTTCAGACCTGAGCAAGCCCTCTTAAAATGAAAAATGGTATATAAAATATGAAGAGGATTAGGGGCCCCGGGGTCAATCTTACCTTGAGGCTGGACTGTATCTGTACCCTGGGGGAGGGGTACCCAACTTCTGGGGGGGGGGGGCGAAGGTCAATCCCACCTCATAAACCATGTTCAGACCTGAGCAAGCCCTCCTAAAGTGGAAAATCCGGGTACATAAAACATGGAGGGGGTTCGGGGCCCCGGGGTCAGTGAATATAAATGAATGCAGCTGTGTAATCATCAATAAATATATTTTATAAATACAAGCCGTGTGAGTACCTGACTGTGACCTGGTATCAGCCCCCCTGCAGTACAGCAGAGCTCAGACTAGGAAAGGGAAAAGCAGTACAAGGAGCCACCATTCTGGAAGCATGCTGATAGGAGAAGAGAGCAGAGCGATGAGGGGAGGAGCTTATCACTGTGCTGCTTCTCCTTTCACTGTATAGTCACAGTTTGGGGGAGGGTCTGTGAGAGCCTGAGCTTAGAGGAAGTGGGTTGAAAGATGGAGGACAACTAGTGGCAGAAAGAGGTACTGCGGGGGGATCTCTGGATTGAAGGAAAAAAAAAAATCATTGCCCCCCCCCCCCCCCCATTACATATTCAGACCTTTGTGCTTTGTAAATAATTAGCATTTTGTTGATCCTGCCAGTGAGTTGCTGTTCCTGTTCTGTGGTGATCTGCGGGCTCGTCTGTCTGCAGCGCTGCCTCTGCATTGCCCATTCCTGATCAATAAAAACTGAACTCTCTATGTGAGGCTTACTGAATGACCTCACACAGCGGGCCAGAGTGAGTGACACCAGCTCATCCAGGAAGCACCTCTCTCATGTAGAGCACTGCTCTGCAAACTGTGGCCCTTTGTTTGCCTTTATCCATCCGAAACATTATTCATGCCACTGACACCAATGATGGGGCACTATTCCTCCCACTGACACCAATGAAGGGGCACTATTCCTCCCACTGACACCAATGATGGGGCACTATTCCTCCCACTGACACCAATGATGGGGCGCTATTCCTCCACTGACACCAATGAAGGGGCGCTATTCCTCCCACTGACACCAATGATGGGGCACTATTCCTCCCCCTGACACCAATGACGGGCCACTATTCCTCCCCTGACACCAATGACGGGGCACTATTCCTCCCCCTGACACCAATGACGGGGCACTATTCCTCCCCCTGACACCAATGACGGGGCACTATTCCTCCCCCTGACACCAATGACGGGGCACTATTCCTCCCACTGACACCAATGACGGGGCACTATTCCTCCCACTGACACCAATGACGGGGCACTATTCCTCCCACTGACACCAATGACGGGACACTATTCCTCCCACTGACACCAATGACGGGACACTATTCCTCCCACTGACACCAATGATGGGGCACTATTCCTCCCACTGACACCAATGATGGGGCACTATTCATCCCACTGACACCAATGACGGGGCACTATTCTTCCCACTGACACCAATGATGGGGCACTATTCCTCCCACTGACACCAATGATGGGGCACTATTCCTCCCACTGACACCAATGATGGGGCACTATTCCTCCCCCTGACACCAATGATGGGCACTATTCCTCCCACTGACACCAATGATGGGGCACTATTCCTCCCACTGACACCAATGATGGGGCACTATTCCTCCCACTGACACCAATGATGGGGCACTATTCCTCCCACTGATACCAATGATGGGGCACTATTCCCCTGACACCAATGATGGGCACTATTCCTCCCACTGACACCAATGATGGGGCACTATTCCTCCACTGATACCAATGATGGGGCACTATTCCTCCACTGATACCAATGATGGGGCACTATTCCTCCCACTGACACCAACAATGGGGCACTATTCCGGACACCAACAATGGGGCACTATTCCGGACACCAATGATGGGCACTATTCCTCTCACTGACACCAATGATGGGACACTATTCCTACCACTGACACCAATGATAGGACACTATTCCTACCACTGACACCAATGATGGGGCACTATTCCTCCCACTGACACCAATGATGGGACACTATTCCTCCCACTGACACCAATGATGGGACACTATTCCTCCCACTGATACCAATAATGGGGTATTATTCCTCCCACTGACACCAATATTGGGGCAATATTCCTCCCACTGACACCAATGATGGGGCACTATTCCTCCCACTGACACCAATGATGGGGCACTATTCCTCCCACTGATACCAATGATGGAATACTATTCCTCCCTCTGACACTAATGATGGGACACTATTCCTCCCCATGACACCAACTATCTCTCCCCCTAATACCAAAGATGTGGCTATTATTTACTCCCTCTGGGCACAGTCCGGCCTGCACTCAAGTCTGAAGCACACTAAACTGGCCCTTTCTGTAGAAGGTTTGGTGACCCCTGGTGTAGAGCAGCCCGGTGGCACATGTGACCCACTGCAATTAAGCACCTCCCACTGCCATGGCCTGCAGAGTGTATGAGCTGAATAGTAGTCACATGACCGCTGGAAATGAAAAAGGTTTTCACTTTTTTGTCTGAGCCTTGCTAGAAGAGTGACAGGAGATGGAGGGGTACGTGCCCTTTAAGTAGCTTCCAGACTCTGGCGATGGGTGGAGTCCTCATTCACGTGGATGTACACCAATGCAAATGGCGGTTCTAGCCTGCGCAGCTCTGTGCAAGTCATTGATAAGCAGCCAGCCACATGGAAAGCTACATCCTACCCGGAGTGAGCACCCACGGATCAGGAATCTGGAGTGTGCATCCATGGATCGGGAACCTGGAGCGTGCATCCACGGATCGGGAGCCCGGAGCGTGCATCCACGGATCGGGAAGCCGGACCGTGCATCCACGGATCGGGAGGCCGGAGCGCGCATCCACGGATCGGGAAGCCGAAGCGCGCATCCACGGATCGGGAAGCCGGAGAGCGCATCCACGGATCGGGAAGCCGGAGAGCGCATCCACGGATCGGGAAGCCGGAGCGCGCATCCACGGATCGGGAAGCCGGAATGTGCATTCATGGATCGGGAACCCGCAGTATGCATTCACGGATCGGGAAGCCGGAGTGAGCATCCACGGATCGGGAAGCCGGAGTGAGCATCCACAGATCGGGAAGCCG